CTCTCTCTCTCTCTCTCTCTCTCTCTCTCTCTCTCTCTCTCTCTCTCTCTCTCTCTCTTTCTTTGCGGTGATATCTCTCCGGGAATCCAATAATCTTTGTCTGCGAGAGATACAATTTTTTACGTCAATTACGTTACGGATGAAATCTAACGACGAGGCATTGCCTCGGGACCGAACGGGAAATTCGATTTTAAATGAGAAAATTCCGGCACGTTCAGAAATATTTTTCCTTAGAAAGTCACGATTTATATACGAAATGAATATTGTAAATTTTGTTAAAATATCTAAAAATTTAATCATAGATACAAAATGTCACAAAATCTGAAAATAATTTTGTTAGATCATCAAAACAATTATGTGAAATTGGTTGCTAAAAATATGTCGAAACTTTACAGAATTGTTTAGCATGCTTGAAATTTCTACGTAATTATTTTGATGATCCAACAGAATTATTTTTAAATCTATATGTAATAATAAATTTTTAGATACTTCAAAATCATTCTTTTCGTGTATACATAAACATTACATAAACATTACAAGAATATATACCAAAATAAAAAATGCCATATTCAGTTTTTCGTCCTTAATAATATTTCTTGTGAATTTATGTTCCAGTTTAAGCTAATTATGCGATTATTTGGTGGTCTTGAAATACAGTCCTAAACTTAAACTTGAAACTAAAGTAGTAATATTTCAAATTAATTATTACTTTCAAATTAATTATTACTGCAAATATAAGTATCTTAGAAAGCTGTTAATGATTTGCTGCTAATAAGCATCTTAAAAACTATAAATATAATTTATTACGAAAAATATTATCCCAGTCATACATATTAATAGTATTTAAGAGTTAATCCTTTATCGTTGCACGCGCGACATTCATTCTTTTGAAGCACGGATTCATATCAGAATGGGTCAATTTCGGGATATCTGATGCGTCTGCCGATTAGGTTATTTAAAATTTAGAATCACGTGCGCGAACAATGGCTGGAAAGTGAAAGGATTGAGCGGAAAGGGTTGTTGAGCGTCCTTAAAGTTGCGACCCTCTCACAACGCGGGCGAGCGATCGCGCCGATGAAAGCTTATCTCGACGGTCGCTTTTGTCGAGTATCGGACCGCCACCGTACACCGTCATCAGGTATACTATATCGACCGCCCGCTAACGAGATCCTGTTACGACAGTTGACAGTTGTTTGAACGTGTGTTTCGATCCGCGAGACTGGCACGCAGAACGTTTCTTCATCAAGAAAGGATCTTGTTATAATTTTTATTACACACGAGGAGAGTAATAACTTGCGATAAAACGTAAGATAAGAGTCATCCGTGAATGCGCTTTCAGAGACGCATAATTGCATTCAAATTATTCCTGTTATTACTCTCTATAAATTCTTTGGAGTGGAATCTCATTCTAAAGAGTGAAAATTGAGCCAGTCTTCAAAAAGAGTGGCTCAATTTTAATCTTTAAAAATGAGATTTCACTCTTCAGAGTGACAATTAAAACGTTTATTTAAAGTTCCGCTGAAGTTCTCTAGAAATATGCAAAAAATGAATTAAAATATAACTGAAAATGAATTATGATAGACAGTAAGTAACGCAGAAGAACAAAAGATTTATTTTTTATTCTTGCACTAAATCGCATTAGAACTTTTTTTCTCGCTTTCACCAAAATTGTAATGTAAAATTCTTACTTTAAGTTCCAAGTATACATTAGTTCAACCACAAAAAAAAACGGATTTAAAAATGAAGTTGAAGTAAAATGAAACAAAATATTATAGATAAAGTTTATATTTTTTTATTAAATCAATTTATTCCAGACATAATTGCGAGTCGATAACATCGAATTCAACACAATCACCCTGAAACACTAATAATCCTCCTTAGATTAAATTATATAATATTTTTCGCAATAAATTTCTTACTTTCTTTCTTTCTTTCTAATTTAATCTAGGGGGGGGGGGGTTATTAGCGTTTCAGAATGATTATGTTGAATCCGAATGTCGGCTCGCAATTATATATATCTGGAATAAATTGATTTAATAAAAGAATATATAATGTATTATTTGTAACATTCAAAAATATGACCGATTTTGACTTTCTTTATATTTTGATGTATTCATAAATACATCGTCGTGTTTAAAATTCTTAATATACTATAGATCTATTTTATGTGGCCGAACTAGAAAAGTGTACTTACAATGAAATATGATGATATGGTTGATACTTAGCGAAAGCGAGAAAGAGAGTTCTAGTACAGTCTAATGCAGTGATAAAAATTAGAACTAATAATTATATATAGAAAAAAAAATAAAAGAATGAAAATAAGATGAATGTAAAGAATGAGAATAATAGTGAGATAATAATGAATAATTACTGACTATTCGAAAAAAATGATATTTTCTTCTTTTATCGCGTGAATTCAGCGAGATCTGCTTAAAGTTTTCCCACGAAATTTTAAAGCTTATTATAATCTTTATATGAATGCCTACGCGCGTATATAAAAAATTATATCTACGATATAAAATTCTTACAAACTTTTATGTCTTATAATTTAAATAGCAATTAAATTTAATTATTTTATAATTAAATTAATGCGCTTTTAATGTTCAGATTCTCGAAAGTTTATTATCTTGAGAGAATAGTAATCGTGCGACGTTTATTACGACGGATTGCCCATTATATATTAAACTGACCCACGGCGAGTTGCCGTTTAATTGAATAATTACTCACCGGAACGAAGCAAGCCGCAGTCGTTAAGTTTCAGAGATAATTGCACCCCAGCTCGTCGGAGATAATCCCGTATCTCTCGCTCGTCCTTCCGCGATAATACCGATCACGATGCGAATCGATCTTGCCTTCTTATCGAGAATCGCCGTGACAGGTTCTCGTCCTTTGAATCGTAAATAGCCCTCTGAACGGAAACATTTCTCTCCTTCCTCGCATGATACGACTCCACATCGTTTCACGTCTCATTTTGCGACCCATAACATCCACCGTCTCGCATAATTGGTTTAGCCTGGTTTCTCGAATTGCGTGAAGAGGATCGGGCCGTAAATCGAGCGCTACTCGACGCCTCCTTCTTCTTTCTGTTCCCCAGTATGGTTTTCCGACTCGTAATCGTAAATTCCCGTATCAAAGATTATTTTTGAGCGAATTGGACCAATGGAATTGTCTCCTTGGGAAAAGAGGGTAGCTCCACTTCTTATGTTGGATGACTTCTTTCCCGGCACGACACGGCGCGGTGCAGCGTAGCGCGACGCTGTAGAGAATGCTCTGAAAGAGCGAGATTTCTTCTTGGAGCGAAACCTGATCGCACCTGGGCGAGCTGCTCGCGCGGTCGCGTGAGCGCGTGATTACAATCTTGACGGTATAATTTCCGTCGAACTCTTTCGCCACCACCGTTCGGCACAACTGGTCGCGAGATCCCGCTCTAAGGATACGTCAATCGTCCAAGATTACGACCCTTAATGCGTCGCGTTAATTGCTGCTTCAACGAATCTCGATGTTAAACTTATATCTCGACTTATATGTTCCGCTCGGATGCGCCTGTAGATGGTTGCTCGTGTTCCACTGGAGAACCTGTCATCCGATGATCGAACCTCCTAGATAAAAGTGAGCTACCGAGGTGCATTATTCGACGCTCCTTTTTGTACGTCGTGTACATAAAAATCCTTAAAATTCTTTAGCATTTCAATGGTCGGTTCACCATAATCCGATTTTCTGTTAAATCCTTTCCAACGAGCGACAAAGTCAATGTGACCTATGACAATCGCGATCCAGGACGAGGGATTCTGCTCAAGCAAGCTTAAGGATCGTTATCCGATTTTTATCTCGCCAGACTCCTAGACTGGCATCGCCTTTTCTGGATGAAAACTTCTTCAGGGAATCACCGGTGTTCCTCGATCAAAGAACGATAGCTTCGCGCAGCGACTTCGCTGGAATCGTCGGAACGAAGAAGTCTGGTCCCAGCGGAATAGAGCTCCCGGAAGATGAAAGAAAAAACAAGTAGACTCTCGCGGCAACCTTTCACCGGGGGCACTTCCCGAGGCTCGTCCTGCGGTGTTCTCGTATCTCGCGGCAAGAACAAGAATGTCGAAGAAAGATGTCGTCAATTTGATGACCCGATGACTCTTCCACAACGAGGACTCTCCCTCATTGGGGGACGCGGAAGTGACCTCGTTGGAGAACGGCTGCTCTTCCTCGTGGTGTTATCGCAGGGCACTGGGAACGCTGCGAAACCGATCGGCGCGGCGTGTTGGTACAGAATGATCACGGCAGGGTCCACGAGCTTATGGTCCCTCTCTTTTCGCTCTCCCTCCGGCTCCTCTCCCCTCGTTCACTCTATCTCTGTCACTCTCTCTGGTCGTCGCGTACCCCTTCTTGGTCTCTTCAACTAGCGCGCTTCTCTCTCTCTCTCTCTCTCTCTCTCTCTCTCTCTCTCTCTCTCTCTCTCTCTCTCT